ATTGCTCTGCATAACATGAACCTCAAAAGCTATCCAGCTGCTTTGCAGCTGTTAAGATGCAGCTGGTCAGAAGGCCTTCTGTAATGAAGAGACATCTCTGAAATTCTTCAAAATACAACAATCTGCTCCCTGACATTTTTCAGAAAACAACAACAAAACAAAACCAAACAGAAAAACCCACCACCACATCAAAACATATCCTTTCAATTCCTTCCTCATCTATTCCTTTAGCAGGCTTATTTTTAACGAGGTATAGGGAAATCTGCCTAAGCACCACCTTCTGGATTTGGCAAAGAAGAAAGAAACATTCATTATATTACACCACACTGTGCAGAAGTCTGTCTTGTGTGACAATACCAGTTCCAAGGAATTTCACAAAGAAAAAACAGGATTGTAATGAGAAACAAAAGGCAGGTTTATCCCAGGTCAGATGGCTAATGAGTTTCCTGGGCCTTAATACTGGAAGGAACTTTCAGGCTTAAAATCAGAGTTAATGTGTTACAATGCAGATGGCACTGATGTGCTCTGAGTCACTTGTGCACAAACAGTCTTTAGGCTACTTGCCACCTGAACTACACACACAAATACTCAGAATGCTCTCACGGTGCTCAGTGACCAAAGGCACATCAACAGACAGAATCACTCTTCTGCTCTCAGTAACGGCAGCGTTCACCCAGCAATGCTGCCACTCCATATCCTTCATTCAGGCTAACTGGATTCAGCAAGAGGAGCCCAGAAACCACCAAAGTAGGATCACTTCCAACAGCATTCCCCCCCTTAAAAGATGGTACCTACTAAAATGTGGAAGATAGATGAAGCTGCAGTGATATGAGAGGCATGTGTACCGACAGCACACGTAGCACTTCCTTGCTGTACATTGGACCAAAGCACTCATTCTTGCTTTTCTTAAGTGCAATAAATAAACTGACTGTACCTTCAAAAATTAAAAGTATCTAGGCATCCTGTTTTTCCTTTTTTGCAGTGCTATCCTAGTGAAAGACTTTCAGAAAGTACAGATTTACAGCTGCAATGGTATACCCACCTATTCTTTCAGGTCAAGATTTAATGAATTAGAGGATGGAAAACACCCATGTTTTTGTACAAAGGAGCAAATATTTTTGTACAAAGCAAAAAACAGTACCCTTTTTTTTACACACCATTTAGAAAAGAAGCAAAATCCACCACTTACCAGAGTCTCTGTCACATTCTCATTTGATTGCACTGTAAATGCAGCGGCATCCTACCTATAGAAAATAAAAACAACACAGCAACAATATTTGGCATGGGATGTATCCAGTAAAGACTTGATTTTTATGGCTTACTCAGGCATAACCATCAATAGCTGAGCTGGGATGGAAAATGGACAATCTAAATAGGCATGAATATCAATATTAAAGACCTTCCTTTTTCAAAAGTGTTCCACGACTCTAAAATGTTTCAAGTTGTTCAAATAGGTGAGGAATCCTTCACTGAATAGAAGTGAATTGCAAGGACTTTGCTTCAGGCACATTGCACTTCCAAACAGCGAATGCCAGAAGTTTATTTTGACAGACTGCACTGCACAGGGAGTGCAGAGCTCGGAGTTCCTTACACATCCTCTGGACTCTGGGCTTTTATTTGCACAGCACAGACTGCTCAGTAATTAGAGATGTGAAGCTTTGCATGCATTAATTAGAGAAAGTGGTGGCAGCTTTGTATTTTCGCCCTTCCTTCTGTGTACTTTACTAATGTAAAAGGCCTGGAGCAAAATTAATAAGCACTGAAAGACTCGTTTTCAGCCTTGCAGATGCCCAGCTTTTTTGTGTGCATATCTAAACACTGGTGTGCAGAGCATGCTGTGGGTAAGCCAGCCTCTGAAAGGTGCTGGAATTTAAGAAGGCCCCAGATTATCTGCATTATCACTTGGGATGGAGGCCCTGGGGTTCGAGAGCGTAAGCGTGCACTGCACTGCTGCAGTACCTTGTGCAGATCCTCAGCATTATCACAGCAGTAAATAAACAATTCAGATTTAACCCCCAGACTAAAACATGTTAGGTGAAAACAACATTGCGGAAACAAATAAAGCTCATTTCATGTATGAATGCATAAATACACAGAGTCACTGAACAGGTGTGAAAGCTGTGAGGAAGCCATGCTTCACAGGCTTTTGAGATTGTTAGAAAAATCCAAAAAAGAGAGCAAGAAAAATACTAATCCAGTTCTTTCACATGGAAAATAAGAAGACAGTCCTGCTAAGCTAGTGGGAGTTTTCCAATTAAATTCAGCTAGGCCAAGAGCGCCAAGAATATAAGCAGCCTTCTACCAACATCCAGGAAGACTTTCTGAGGCAGATAAGTTCAGGATTCGCGCCAGCAGGACATTATTGTGCAGCTGGTCTGCAGAGCACAGTTTTCAAAACTGTGCAGCCAGTCTGAATCTCTTCGGTTTGCGCCGCCCTGTCCTTACCTGGCGGTGGGCACGGGGACGGGGTGGGTTACCGGAGCTGCAGAAACGACCGCGGGCAGAAGCGCCGAGAAACGAACGGGAAATGTTTAATCGACGAACGCACAGAGCGACAAACAGAGAGACGACCGCGTTCCCAACCGGCTCCCGTCCAAACGGCGACTGCGGAGGACGGCTCGGTGCTGACGGGGGACGGACGGACCTCCGCGCCGCCTTCCCCTGAGAGCCCGGCGTCCCAAAGGCACGGGGCGGGCGGCGGCGGCGGGGACGCGGGGCAGCGGAGCGCCACTTTCCCCGCACGGAGCCCAACAGCTCCACCAGCGGCAGTGCCATCGCGGCGGCCCCGCGGCCGCCATTGGCGGAGAGCCCGCGCTCGGCCCCGCCGCCTCCGCGCCGCCATTGCTCGGGGTCCTTTCGTTCCGCGGTCGCGCCGTCGTTGCGTCATCACCGCGCGCGTCCCGGATGGCCCCTGCCGGGCTGCCCGCGGCGATGCCTGTCGCCGCGCTCCCGCCCCATTTCCGGGGCTCCGGGGCGGCCGGACTCCGGGAGGAGGAGGGCGGGTACGCGGGGGACCGCGGCGAGGCCGAGCCCGCGCCGCCCTGTTCCATGCGGGCCTTCCTGGAGAGCGGCGAGCACGGGCCGCATCCGTGCCGCCAGGAAAGCGTTGAGGAACGCAGCCTTGTCTCCTCTTGTACCAGGCGCTCATGCTCACGTATTGGTTCAGGCTGTGACTTGGGAATGCCACTACAAGTCACAGTAACTCAGCAATTGCGGCGGGTGATGTGATAATAGCTTCTTGGAAACAGTCGTGATATTCCCTCCTATTCTACTTGTAACATCAGGATAATCTACGCGCTGACCTGGTACAAGACCTTTCTTGCATTTTCTTCCATCTCTTTCCCTGTGGTCCAACAGCCAATGAGTTTCTGTACAAGAAGAGAAACTCTTCCAAAAAACAGGGCAGCTGTTCTCCTGGATGCATACCCTGGGGATGGTTTAAGGTCAGAACGCTGAGGGGAGGCAACCATTTCTCTGCTTCTCTTTATCCCTTCCCTACAAGTCACCCAGCTGCAGTGTCTTGCTCCCAGCTCCTCCCAACAACCCCTTCTATTCCCACCAGAGATCTAAAGGAGAGCACGTTGGAAGGAAAAAGTCTCCTCTCTGGCTTCCCACTTAGCTACACCTTTCACATGCTGCAAAATCGTGGGCTTTGCTCTGCTCTGTGTGTCACTGGAAGAGAGCACCGCATTGGAAAATGAGGATCTCGGGGTCCCAGGGCTCTGAAGAACGTGGCCATCACATCTGTCAGAGCCAAGGGGTCTTGGGAGAGTCCCCATCGTCCCTCTTCAAGGAGATGGCACCGAGTCGCTCCTATTATGAGAGCGAGAGCAGGTTCTAGTCTATGTTCACCTGACAGCGAGATTCATACACAAAGGGTAGATGTCAGCTCGTCCAGTTTATTACGAGTGCTGGTCACTGGGGGAGATGGGCAATAGAAAAGATCAGAGGATGCAGACCTTGGGATGCAGTCAGAAAGGATGATAGAATCAAATGGAGCGTCATGGAGTTACGGGTCACATGGGATTAGGTGGTGGGGGTGAGGTGGCTGCACATGAACCACAGCCCTGTGATGCCCCTGTGATTCCCTGACCCTGCCTGCTCCCATCACACTGCGACCTGCTGCCGTGTGGCCCCAGAACTCTGGGATCCCTGCTCCCACCTCACCCCCCCCACCAGGGCCTGCAACTGGCCAGCCCACCACCAGGGCCTGCAAAGGCGGCAAGCCCACCACCAGGGTCTGCCAAGGCTGCAAGCCCACCACCAGGGTCTGCCAAGGCTGCAAGCCCACCACCAGGGTCTGCCAAGGCTGAATCAACAGATGTCGTTGATCAGGAAAATAAAACGTCTAAATTAGATCTTGAATATACAATTCCAACTGATCCACTAGAAGTCCGTCCTGTCGTAACCCAGAAAACAAAAAAAGTGCAGGACAGACCGGCAGGGGTGCCCCCTGATCAGTGCCCCCTGCTCAGACTCATTGACATGTAACGGCCCGGCCATACATGGCAACAGAATTGATGGACTTAGTACAGCAATTTCGGCAGAAGCCTAGAGAAGGTGTGCCGGCTTGGTTATTAAGACTGTGGGATTCTGGGGCAGAAAGTGTCTTGGTGAATGGCCCAGAAATAGCCAAGTTGGCCACCATGACTGTCCATCCTGCTCTCAGACAGAGGTTATACGTGGGTAATCAATATCGTGATGAAAACCATTCTATACTAGAATGGTTAATGGCAGCCTGCCGTATGGTATGGCCGAATAAATCGGACATACCTTTACATACAGGCATGTGGTCCTCCATGGAGGACCTTCAAAATTATATCCGCAAACTGGGTGTAAGAGAGGCTATCTATGAAGAGACATTTGATGGCCCTGATATGGTTAAATTTTCAGCAGGGATGAGAGATTTAATTCTACAGCAAGCTCCCTCCCATTCTCTACGGCACCCTACTCTCTATATTAAATCCCCTTGTAGCATCAGAAGCTGTAGTCCAGCAGGCTGCCCAGTTAGTTGCCGACTTGGGAGAAACAGAACGCCTGCGGACTAGGCGCAATATTCAGCTATTGGAAGAAGCAGAGGTCCTGCTGGTAAGTAAAACCAAAATGCCGGCTACTCGAGCTCCTCCATCGGGACCCATCAGGGTATCCCGAAAAAAAATGTTTAATTATTTAATTCGGGCTGGGGTCCAATTTGCTAAGATTGACTGCCAGCCCAACCATGTCCTTCTCCAGCTCTGGAGACAACTAAAGGACAATAAAAAATTCCAGAACTACCCTAAGAAATCAAGGGTGAGGGTTACAGAGAGCGTACCAACAACAACATGGAACCTAGAAGATTGTGTTGTTCCAAACAGGAAAAAAAAGCCACCTCAGGTGTCTCGGGCCACAATGCCTGAGCCGTCAGAAGCAAAAGAATTGGCCATAGCACAATTCATGGCGTGACAAGGGATGTAGGGCCTCCAGACGGGACCAGAGGCCCTATGTAGAATGAACGATTTATTGGTCCCAAAAAAATAGTCAGAGAGTTATGGCGTTGGTAGACACGGGAGCAGAAACATCAATTGTCTACAGAGATCCGAGGAAATTTGATGGGGACAGAGCGATGATTGGTGGTTTTGGGGGACAGAATTTTTGTCACCCAAACACGGTTCAAACTGGGGTTTGGGCGTCTCCCACCCCAGGAGTACAAGGTGTCTATTGCCCCAGTCCAAGAATACATCCTGGGCATAGATATTCTATGGGGTCTGGCCCTCCAAACAACTGTGGGAGAGTTCAGACTTTGACAGAGATGTATCAGTGTCCGGGCGGTGCAGGCAATATTAAGAGGCCATGCGAAACATGGGCCTGTTTGCCTGCCGAAACCGCGCCGGATTACCAACGTCACACAGTATAGACTCCCGGGTGGACAAGATAAAATATCGAGAATGGTGCAGGAATTAGAAAAAGTGGGCATTATAAGACCTGCACACAGTTATATGTAACTCCCCCATATGGCCAGTGCGAAAGTCAGATGGCATGTGGAGAGTGACAGTAGATTACAGAGAATTAAATAAGGTCACGCCCCCTATTCATGCAGCTGTACCCAATATTGCCTCTCTAATGGACATGTTGAGTAGGGAGATAAAAACCTACCATTGTGTCCTAGATCTAGCAAATGCATTCTTCAGTATCCCAATTGCTGAGGAATCGCAAGATCAGTTTGCGTTTACGTGGGGAGGCAGGCAGTGGACCTTTCAGGTCCTGCCACAGGGGTACGTGCATTCACCAACGCATTGTCACAATCTAGTGGCGCGTGACCTGGCTGATTGGACAAAACCTGATGATGTTAACCTATATCATTACATTGATTATCTCCTGCTGACATCATACTCACTGGAGGCAGTAGGACAGGCGGCAAATTCATTAACCGCCTATTTACAACAGAGGGGATGGGCTATAAATCCCCAAAAGATGAAAGGTCCAGGCCTGTCTGTAAAATTCCTGGGGGTGGTTTGGTCAGGAAAGACCAAAGTGCTACCCAGTGCTGTTATAGATAAGGTTCAGGCGTTCCCAGTCCCTACAACATCAAAGCAGCTGCAAGAGTTTCTAGGTATATTGGGTTACTGGCGTTCCTTTATACCTCACCTAGCGCAGCTGCTAAGGCCACTATACAGACTCACGAAAAAGGGGCAGCTCTGGGACTGGGGGAAAACCGAACAGGATGCTTTCCAACAAGCAAAACTGGCAGTTAAACAAGCCCAGGCATTGGGTATATTCGATCCTACCCTCCCAGCCGAGTTGGATGTTCATGTTACTCAAGACGGCTTCAGTTGGGGCCTGTGGCAACGCCAGAGCTCTGTTCTGATCCCCACTGGTTTCTGGTCTCAGGTTTGGCACGGAGCAGAAGAAAGATACAGTATGATTGAAAAACAGTTATTAGCTGCCTATTCGGCATTACAGGCAGTAGAACCAATAACTCAAACAGCTGCAGTTATAGTCAAGACCACTCTGCCAATTCAGGGGTGGGTGAAAGATCTGACCCACCTTCCTAAGACAGGGGTGGCCCAAGCACAAACAGTGGCACGATGGGTCGCCTATCTCAGCCAAAGGAGCAGTCTGTCTTCATCACCCTTGAAAGAAGAACTCCAGAAGATCCTAGGCCCAGTTACCTATCATAGTGATGCACCAAAAGAAATACTGGTCGCTCCACCAGGGAAGAGTCCCGTTCAGGAGGGAAAATATCCTATCCCTGAAGATGCCTGGTACACAGATGGGTCCAGCAAGGGCAACCCGAGCAAGTGGAGAGCAATAGCGTACCAACCTTCCACCAAGAAGATCTGGTTCGACGAGGGGGATGGTCAGAGCAGCCAATGGAGAGAACTGTGAGCTGTGTGGATGGTTATAACCAAGGAACCAGGTGATGGTATCCTGAACATCTGCACAGATAGTTGGGCTGTGTACTGGGTGCTCACTCTTTGCATTGCACAGTGGGCCACCCAGGAATGGACTATCCACGCCCGACCGATCTGGGGAAAAGACATGTGGTTAGATATATGGAATACGGTCAAACATAGGACTGTATGTGCCTACCATGTTTCTGGTCATCAGTCCCTACAGTCACCGGAAACGATGAAGCCGACACACTGGCCCAAGTTCGATGTATTGGGAATTCACCATCTGAGAACATCGCCCGCTGGTTACATCAGAAGCTACGGCATGCTGGACAAAAGACAATGTGGGCAGCTGCTAGAGCATGGGGACTGCCCATACAACTATCTGATATCGTCCAGGCATGCCAGGATTGCGACGCTTGCTCCAAGATGAGAGCGAGATCGTTGCCCATCAACAACAGCCCATCTTGCTAGGGGACACAATCCTCTC